CAAGTGTGGTAAAGACTACATATGTGAGATCTTTATTCTTTACCATTATGATATATGTGGTTTTCAACATCGTCAGCTTGGAAGACAATCTAATGTTTGTAAGGTCAATTTATTGCTTTTCTAAGAAAGTATGCAAGTTTAACTTTGTAGCTGATTATATCATGACAAAACATTGTGGGTTTATAGATTCACATATTTTAACACCAGAGCCATTGTTGAACTTCTGAATCTCAAGGCTCATCAAATTTTACCCAGAGGCTTCTGGATCATACCCAGAACATACAGCTGACCTAGATTTAAAGACTTTAAATGGTCATCACTTCTGCTACCTCTTTAGCTGTTTCAATCTTTTAATTGCTTCAAAGTAGGATTTTTTTTTTTTTGTTAATGTTCTGGATTTATCTTTTATCGGGTTTCAGTCTTGTTAATTTGTTACCTCTATTTATTTAAAAAATGACCTTCACTTCACAACCTTTTTTTCCACCATGGAGGTATCTAAAGACACCTCTAAACCTTTATTTTTTACAAGCTATACCACTTTAATCTTATAAGTGTTCCAAATTGTAATGTTCTTGTAGCTTTTCTTAGAAACCTTTCAAATTTGTCAGCAGCCTTCTTACAGAATGATTATTTAAACATATTGAACCACAACATATTCCAGGATTAGGCACACTAAAATAATAACAACTTCTCATGACTACCACTATGATTATTTTTAATTAGTATTCCACAAGGACTCTGTCACACCAAAAAGTATGTTCAGTAATCCTTCAATCCATATCTGCACATTGGCTTCTCTGTGTGAATACTGTTGAGTATCTGTGTGATCTTGCGTTCAGTTGTATGAATTGTGTGCTATTACAGTGAGCTACTCTATAAAATTGACCTATGCTTATCTATTGCTGAGTGCAAATACACAAAGTTTTTCAAGTATCCTCATTTTGGGGACAAAAAAAAAAAAGCAATCTATTGTTATGATTGACACTATGATCATCACCTTCCAGTAACCTTGAATCATTTTTGACTCCCAGGCTGCTCCTGGTGAACATCTCAAGCTCATAAATACAAGTGGTTTACTTTCAAATATACCTAAACACTGGTTGGACCAGAGAAAGGGTAGCTATACAGCCTGCTAGTTATGAAGAGAATCAGAGACTGACATTAATATATTTTGGTGAAAACTTTTAATTTCAACATACTAACGTTTTCCATTTGTAAAGAATATGCCTCAATTAACCTCCACTACTATTGAAAGTTAATTACGCGGCTCAGCTTTGTATGCATATGGTATACACGTACTAGCTATCATGTTTTCAATGATGAGCAATATTTTATGATGTAGTTATGCAGGTATAGGGGGCATATATAAATTAAAAACTTTAATATTTGAGACAAATTCATACCACATTGACACTCTATATATTTCATTTTTAAAAAGGATGTTCAAACAATTTCACCTTTCAATTTACTGTATCTATCAGAAGTATCAGGAGATACCATAAAGATCTTCTAAAGATTGGACATAGCCCTGTGTTCAGCTTTGTATAATAGCAGGTAAGTCTATCAGTACTGATTTGAGAAGAATAAAAAGATGGTAATTAAAACCATAGTGAATTAAAACACCTAAAAGAATTAGGGAGTATTTTATCGAAGTTTGTGATCAAAAACTAAGTATGCTTTTAATCTCATTGAAATCAACCATGTGCTTGAGTGCTTTGTTGAACCAGAACTTTTCATAAAGCAAGGTGAGTTTTTTGAATCCACTCAGAAGAGAGCATTTTAATATTCAACACTACCCATATGAAAATTTTCAAAAGCTCGAAAACAACATTCATATTTAGCAGAACAAAATGATGCAACAGCAAAGGTGCTACTTAAACCCAAGCAAGCGTATGTTTTTCCCACATGGATTTAGAGAAGTTCGGACTCTGAATATCTAAAGTATAGTCTTTATTTATAATTAATAAAGCTGTTCCTATTGGAGAATTGGAGAGTTTGTGCTGGTAGTTTTAACTAACAGCATCATAAGAAAAATACACTTGCTTCTGCAAATAAATGAAATGTTAGACCAATTCAGTGTTGAAGTACATAGCACACAAAGATAAACAGCACCTGGAGAAGCAGTCTCACTACTTATTTTAAGGGGAAAGATAAAAATCAACTGTTAGGAATATACAAAGGAAGTATTCTAGACTGTTTCTGTAGAGCATCAACACTGACAGACTGTCCTTGAGCAAATAAAGGGATTCTTTAGTTTCTTTGCTATTATGTTTTCAGTTAAGGGTTTAAACAGATTCTTTTCATGATCACTGTTTCCACCCAGGGCCATGGGGAGAACAAGAACAAAAGGATAAACTTTGTGCAAAGTGGACCTAAAAACTTAGAATACTGAATACAAGGAATCCTTAAATTTATTTAAAAAAAAAAAAAAAAGTTCAGGGAACAGAGGAAATAAGTTAGTGATATTCTAATATATTCTTCAGCCATACACTTGATAAGTATCAACGAAGAAATACAAACTGGATCTATAATGTGTGGTAGGTGTTATTATTTAGTGATACCTGCTGGAACAGCCTTGAAGAAGAGCTCAAAAAAAAAAAAGAATAAGGATATGGTAAAAATGGAAAACATGAGTTAAGAACTGAGGTGAAATCCACATGTGGGATATTTTTGAAACAAAAGAGACAATATCGCTGGAGATGGAATATGTCATTGTTTTAAAGATTTCTAATTAAATACTTTATTTCTAATACACACCCTATCTTTAGATATATGGAATGCATAAAATCCCCATTTCTTATTTCTTTCCTGCATCTCCTCTGATCAATGATTTTTAATCCTTTTTTTTCTATGTAAAAAGTTGTTCTATATTTCACTCTCTGTATTTCTGTCTTCCTTTTTCTGTAATGAGTTTACTATACTTCCCTCAAACTTCAGTTTCTTTTACTCTGTTTCATTTCCCTAATCTTGCTAAACCTTTGCCTTTTTCCATATATGATTATTTCTTCATCACTTGAGCTTTCTATAGCTTTTTAATAGCTTAAATAAGACTCTGGCCTGAGATAATCATGTAGGCTGTGCAACTAGTGGAGCTGCACAAGTAGCAGGGCTGTTGTCTAACACAAATTAGTGGCTAAAGGAAAAAGCAAGCAAGCAGATTATACTGAGGCAAACCCTGAGAGGAGGATATTCCCAGCCAGATACATTTTGCAGATGCAGAGATCTGTCCCTGAACTGCTCCCAGATTTCTCTTTCCATTGGCTCTCCCAAGCACGATGTAGGTGTCCAAAGGCTGTGTCCTGGTTTGGGCTGGAATAGAGGTAATGACCCTTTTTGGCAACTAGAATAGTGCTGTGTTTTGGATTTAGCTTTGGGTTTGGTGTGAGAAGAATGCTGATAGCACACTGATGTTCTCAGCTGCTACCGAGACTTCAAGGACTCTCCAACTCCCCATGTCCTGCCCGTGCGCAAGGGCACAGGGAGGGAGCATGGACAGAGCACCAGACCCTAACTGGCCAATGAAATATTCCATATCATGGCACGTCATGCTCACTGTATAGAGGAGGGGTGGTCGGGAAGGGGCTCGCTCTCTCTCTCGCTTCTGGGATTGCGATTGCGGGATCTTGGTATTTCAGGATCACCAGCTGGGAGCGGGCTGGGTATTGATCAGTGGGTGGTGATCAATTGCATTGTGCATTGCCCATTTATATTTTCTGTTACTGTCATTGTTCTCATTTTATTACCATTATTAAACTGTTTCTATCTCAACTTGCGAGTCTCCCTTTACCCCTCCAATTCATCCCCCACTCCCAGGTGGGGGGGAGGGTGGGTGAGCAGCTGTGGGGTGGTTGGCTGCCGACCAGGCGCAAACCATGACAGGGCATTACATTTTAGGCTCACAGAGAGTATCCCTGCTGTAAAATCTCAGACATATTTTTCTCTTCTGTCTGTCTCCAGGTATAGCCCTTCCTCAGATACCTTTCCTTTTACTTCATGCACAAACCATATAGATTCCCACAAGAATTTATCAAACAATATTTCTCAATGTCAACCCATGTATCCTTACTCTTTTCTAATGCAAGCAGCTCCTGGCTTGCATGAAATGTTTTTTGGTTTCTCCAACAAAAACTGTATCATCTCACTTTCCTACTGTCACTTCTACTTGTAAACTCTATTCCTCCCTCTTCTCATGAATAACTTTACTGTTTCCCTTTTACAATGTTTGTTGTTTTTTTTTTTTTTTTTTTTTTTTCCCTTTTTCCTTCCCATAATCCTTTCCACTCTCCTCCCCAGTCGAACTTTCAAATTGCTTTGGATTTCCCCACTCATCAGCCTTATGGCACTAGATGATCTCTTTTCTAAAAAGTGGAATAGACCAAGGATATACTTTTGCCGCGTCTATCAGCACTGTACTTTCAAATAAGAGACTGAAATAGAGATGTGGGGGTTTTCCCCCCTCATTTCCGAAGAAAAAGCATATCACGAGCCCTACAAGTAAAGCAGAGTAACTCCTACCCCTCTTCCCCCAGATCGTTCCGAGACCCAAGGCTCAGCGAGCTCACTACAGCTCCTGAAGGACAGCTGCCCTTCCCACCGCCCCTCTCCCCGCAGGAGGAGAAGGCACTCGGGCAGGGGCTAGCCTGAATACGAACTTAGCCCCCCCTCGCTTCCCCGGCGGGGACATCTCCCCTTCCAGGGGCAGTCCCCCTCTTCCAGGGGCAGTCCCGCCCCGCCGGCCTCCGCGGCGGCAGCGCGCTGCGGGGGGGGGGGGGGGGGGGGGGGGATGTCGGGGGGTGTAGGGGGAGAGCGGAGCGGGGGGGCGGCCGGGAGGCCGGCCTCCGCCCTGCTTCCCCGCCCGCCACCGCCGCCGGGGGCGAGGTGCCGGCCGCTGGCAGGAGCCGGGGGCAGGTGGGCGGGGAGGTGGGCGCCGCCGCCGCGGCGGGGTTCAGGCTCCCGCCGGGCTGCGATGCGTAGCGGCGGGGCGGGCGCGGCGCGGAGGGGAGCAGGCGGGCGCTAGGGCGGGCGGCGGGCGCGGAGCCGCCGGAGCTCTCCAGGGTTCTGGGCCGCCCGCGGGGAGCCGGGGGCAGCCGCGCCGCCGAGCCCCGCCGAGCGCCGCCGAGCCCGGCCGAGCGCCGCCGAGCCCCGCCGAGCCCCGCCGAGCCCCGCCGAGCCCCGCCGAGCCCCGCCGAGCAATGCCTCGGACGAGACCGCTGCAGGGCTCGGCGGCGCCTCCGCGCAGCATGGCCCGGATGAGGTACTTCCGCGCGGCCGCCTCGGGATTTTATCTGTGGGAAGCCGCGGTGCTGCTCAGGTGAGCGGGTTTCTCTGGGGAAGCGAAGGTCCCGCCGCCGGTTTCCGCGGGCGGCTGAAGCGCCGGGAGGGGGGCCGCGGGCACTGCCGTCCCTCCCCGCTGGCGCCCGGCTGCAGGCGGCCGGACTGCGGGCGCGGAAACTGAATGCGTGGGAGCCACGCGTCGAGAATGACTTTGTAACATGGCATCGCCTCCGAGTTGATTTTGCGTTTTGCAAGCCGGAGGCTGCGCGTTTCCTTCACCTGTTCACAGCTAGGGTTTCCCGATTTGATCTGTGAATCTTACCACCGGTTTTCGCAGGGATCGTAACATCAGTGATCTTGAAAATTCTCCAGGTGCAAAGTGCCTAGATGTAAAAGTTACAGAACATAATCTGAGCTGGGAATATATAGGCTCATTTCTTCCTGACAGTTATTTTCAGTAAAAGGAAAATCAGGGATTGTGTTCAGTCAGAGAAGTCTTATACAGAAACAGAAAAATGTGAGCTGAGTGAATATAAGATACGATCTACAGAATTTCCCTCAAGAGGGAAAGCGTTTGCTGTGCTACTGGCTCTTTAGGATTTGTATTACAAAGACAGTAACGTATCCATAAATTATGACCTGGGTTGAAGACTGGGGTTCATATGGCTTTTTCTGCTTTCTGCCCAGAACACTTTTTCTAGCTCAAGTAATGTTATGATATCAAGGCAAGCATTCTTTTAATACATAGCTAGAATTGTGATGATAGCAGGCTGAAATAGACATGAATCCTCTGTCTAAAGGTGAGGGGAAAACTTAAGAAGAAAAATCAGACATGTGAAGAAGCAGACTTCAATGTCATCATGTTTTCACTGCTGATGCAGAGTTAGCCATGCTTGTTATCAACAAACATTGTAGCTCCGTATCACAGTAAACAGACTATGGCGTATAACATGATAATGCCAGGCTGTTTCAAGAATCACATTTTTACCTGACAAACATAAAAAAAAAAAAAAAAAAAAGAAACTTACATTTGAAAAGCGGTTCTCCAGAGAGAGTTTGGGGGATTATGCATGTAAGGGATTTATAACCACAAAGTTAAAACAGTAGCGTGTAGTGCCCCACAATGATGGCACACTTTACAGGTGCTCACAGGTTCATAGCAATTTTTTCCTTTTTGAAGTTAGTTTAATGACCTGTTTTGTATCAACATATGAAATGTAAATAGTTTATAATGTGATTTTATTGTAATCGTACCAAAAGAAAGAGATTTTAAGAAACTCGGTCACATATCATGGGATTAATTGACACTGGGAGGAAAGAGTAAATGCTTGTATATTACAGATTAAATTTTCCAGTTGCATTGAGTATTTAATGTTCAGAGTAGATGACCAAACCACTGTGTAGTGTAGGCAACACAAGCAGTACTGTGCTAGTGTTCTATCTCAATGTACTTATAGAACTTATTTTATCTTTGCATATTATTTAAATGCCATCTTACTGTTCAATGATTCATCCTTTATTTTAATGCTATAAAAACACATATTATATTCCAAGAGAAAAAAGTGAAAAACTCAGATTTGGAAAGCAAGCATGTATTTTGCATCACATAATTCTGGACTACTATTTAATTGTTTCAAAATGTATACAGGCATCTTATTTTGCATAAATTCAAATTATTCTGTTCCATGTCCAGATAATAGTTGTATTGCAATAGCCTTCTGCTATTAAATTGTCATTTTATCACAAGGAACATGATTACTGTGTGCAAGGACTATATAGTCTGAGAAAGACTTCAGAAAGCTGCTCAGAATTTATGTGTATCTTTGATATATATATCTCAATACAGAGACTATGTGTGACTTTAGGTCTAGCAGTGATACTTGAGAAACCTGAGTCAGTTCGAGACACACGGGAGCCCTCTCCATGTTTAAAAAAAAAAAAAAAAAAAGGTTAAAATATTAAAACCTGTAAAATTCCCAAGCTTCCTGGAGCCATTAATTCTAGTTCTTTTCCAACTTAGTCCTTGTGAAATGATTTAGGTTAGAGCAAATGGAACAGGGTACAGTAGGATGCTGCTTCTACTCTCTGTAAGACACACAGATTCCAGCATTAGCACCTATATAACACCCTCAGCAAAAAGATGGATGTGCTATGAATTTCTAGGAACAACAAAACCTTAAGTATTTCACTTGCTCCAACATTACGGAAAAAGTAATATATCTTCTCTTACATCATGCAACATTGAAACTTTTCTGCTCTTCTTTAACAAGCACTCAAGGCTGTGTGAGAAGGCTGAAGGAACCTAACAGGAAGAACCTTCAATTCTTGTCCAACAGCCCTGAGGTTGTTTAAAGTGATTGTTTAAATTGTATGCCTGTGAAGATAGACATTTAATTTCACTTTCAGTGCAGGTTAAATGAAAACAAAAAGGATTTTTTTCAGTATAAAGTTACAGGCTTGCTACTTTAATGAGAAAAGTCTCTGGATTAGCATGCTTCACGAGAGGAAACTACACCTGATTTTTTTTTTTTCTTTTTTTTCCCAAATAATTTTTCATCCTGCATCTAAAGACTCTTCAAATTCAAATGACTGAAACAAGATGTATATTGGTCATAGTAGGATCTAATTATTAATTTGATTTCTGAAAGACATTGTATAGAGAATAAAATGTTGTTAATAGTCTTTCATAATATATTTCATAATAATGTGTTTGTACTACAATAACATACTTATTGGTAATATATTAATAGATTTTAGACATGAAAAACAAGGGTCTAAACACATAGCACTTTATTATGTTTTCAGTGATATATTTGAGAGAAAAGGTATCATCAGACCCGAAATAAAAAATTATTGTTTATTAATGAATGCCAAGCCAAGTCCCAGTGTGATATTAAGTAGAGGGTAGAGATGTAAAAATGAGGGTAAAAGCTATGGAAAACAATCTTGTGGACCCTAAAAATAATGGTAGTTCACTACCAAAGAAGGAAAATAAACACTTCTAAGATCTGAAGTTATAATAATCTTCGAGTATTCCTCTTAATTTTCATTAAATTAATAGTGTTAACAAAAATTCCTCTGGTTTTGCCTGGATTCCAAGAGGTCACAATGAAAAAAAGATCATATTTGTGAGTCAAACAGTTTTATGACAGCTCCCAAACTTGCATGGGCACTAGCACGGGTCTTTTAGAACTACACTGGCAGGGACTTGCCAGGGACTCTGCTTCCTCCTTGAAGAGTAAAGTATAGGTATGTTATATGTGGATCTGTGTATAGGAAAGCATGGGATGAAAAGGTAGGTGGCACAGTGGAAATGCAAAACAGGTTCTCCCTATACAATGTTTCTTTAGGTCATCATATTTGCATAGACCCAGAATCATGCTATGATTAGGTTATTGCCTCTTTCCCTGTTCTATTCACTACCGTATTGGCCTTATATTGAAGGAAACAGTATCACGGGGACAGAGACCAAATTCTTGTGGAAGAAACCTCCATGCAACCTAACTTTGGGGTGTGTCTGAGCTTGCAGTTAACTGGTTTATTGAAATTATACCTGCACTGCACTGCAAATTGATTTCAGATGAATAGCTTTAAGAGGCAAAAGTCAATATCCTTTAAACCAGCATTAGTTCCTCCAGATAATGAAAGAGAAAGAAACAATAGCTAAAAAATATTAAATCTGACGTATCATCACAAACGTCTTTGAAAATACATACTTTGGTAGTTTATTAATATATTAAGAACTACACCCACAATACTATTCAAGAAATAAAAGTGTCTGTTAAAATCAGGATGTGAATAAAATAAGAGTGTGAAAGAAAATGTAGTAATTCAAGATGAGAGCACTGAGGCATAGTACCTTTCCTTGACAGATCAGACTCAATTTGAAAAGATAGTTTCTGTGGGATAAACCAATTGTCAGACTCCAGGTCCTACTGCAAAAGATTTGATATGTCTCAGAAAGCAGCAAGGGAAGGGAAGAGGTAGCTGGGAGTTCAGACTCACAGCAAGGCAGGCAGGAGCAGAATCCTACCAACAAGGTTTGCAGTCCCACAGCACCAGTGCAGGAGCAGAGCAGATCCAGTCCAAACAACAGTTCAGGTTGATGGGCAAAGGTGGTAGTGATGAGGCAGGCCCAAGGTCAAGCCACAAGGTCAGATCAACAGATCAAGCTCAGAGACAGAACTAGGAAGGTACAAGGCTGGGTGAAGGTGTACTTGCACAGTAGCTCGCGTAGAGACCAGGAGCATCGCCCCAGCACTTCTGAGGAAGAAAAAAAAAATAAAAAGGGAAGAAAAAAAAAAAGAAACAAACAAAAAAGAAAAAAATCAGGGCCTGAGAGAAGAGGGGTGATCCCCTGCTGAGGCTTTTACAGCTTTTTATCAAACAGCTCTGCTTCAGATCTGGGCTGCTGCATTATTAGAGCTGGCACTGAGCCCAGGTAGCCAAACCCCTGGGATGAAAGAAATGTGTTCAGGGTCCTTATAAAACATTAGGAGGAGAGCATCGGGGTTCCCTTGCAGGATGTACCCATAGGCAGTATTGTACTTTCCAAAACTCAGACAAAAAGGAAGTGAGGTTTTTTTGTGACCAAGAACGTGATTCAAATTCTCTCGTATTTCAACTATACCAATGAAAACACTGAAATCCCTTTGAACCAAATATGAGTTTTGTCATGAACATAAATTTGATAAGAACTTCTATTATCTGTTCTTTATTTGTATAAAAAGAAATTATTTTTGTGACTACCATGTTTATAATTTTGAGAAAGAATTGTGTAGATTTTTGAGTTTATAATGTTAGAAACTGTAAGAAAATTAAACAACAAAGAAACTTCAATTAAAAACATGAATCTTTCAATTCTTACTGTGCTAGTGACATCTTCTTACTTTTCAACCTCTCCTAATTTATTTCTAGACAATTGGTGCTAGCAACAACTGGATGCAAGTAGTACTGTGAATTGAGTGCTGTGCTTGTGTATGATGAAAACTATAATTGCTCCTCTATCAGATTAGTCTTGTCCAGATATCCTAGGAA